AATAGTGACTAAGAACCTCATGAAATCTAAATATGGTTACTGATAGAAATTTAGATTGTCACCAAAAGCACAATAAGAAATTTATATGGTGAGGAAAAGAAAAGATTTGCTCTGGTAAATGGGTGAGATATATATATATATATATATATGATTTTTTTTGGCTACGTCTAGTTAATGTTTAATTATTGGGTTCCTTTTTTTAGCGAATTTATGAACTTTGGACACACTGAAATTATGTAAGCCCTGGTCAGCATTAATATTGTATTAATTTATAATAAAAGCATTTATCCATTTTTTTCATTAACTACAAATATTTGGGAAAACATTATTTTAAGGCATCTGTAGAACAAACTGACACTTCTTCATTCACAGAAGTCCCATCAAATTCATGAGAAAGCAAGATTGAGTTGTCATTATTCAGGAGTGCCTCTCCCCGTTCATTTATTATTTTATTCATCAGCACATCCTGGTAAATGCCTAAAATAAAAGCCCTAATGTGTAACATTTGCCGATTTCTGTGGCATAAATACCTCCACCATGGCCAATTTCTAGGCCACTGAACAGTGAGTTGCAAAGAGATGCCAATAATCAGCTCCCAGTAGATGGTAAGGGCTGGCTTGAGCATTCTATTACCTGTAACCAGGAGAAAAAGGAATTTTCAGGGAAGTTCAACTACTTAGAATGTTCACATTATAAAGGATAAGAAGGGGCGGCAGAGGCTGAAGCTGATGAGACAGGCAGAAGTCAGAGCATGAAGCACCTTGAATGTCTATTCAAGAGATCCAGTGACCATGAGATTTGACGGGTACTCAGGTAAGAGATGATAGCGACTCTCACCATTGTAGTAACCATAGTTTTTAAAGGAATCCAGGGAAGAGATAATGGTGTCCCTAACCATGGTAGTACCCATGGGATTTTGTAGATCTAGAGTGAACAGATGACTGAGACCTAACCATCATAATATCTGGGAGTTTGTAAATATCCAGGCAGGAAAAGAGGTGGTAAACATAGAATATTGAAGTTCTGTAGGTAAGAAATGATCAGTTTAACAAGGGGAGTGACCATGGTATTTTGTAGATACCCAGTTCAGAGACGGTAGCCTTAACTACGGTACTGAAATTGAGGTTTCTCAAGTAGGCAGGTAGAAGCTGATGGTCCCCCGTATTACATTAGTGAACATGACATTTTGTGGTATTCCTGGTATGATGGGAAATCTAACCACAGAAGCAACCATGGGATTTTTCAGAGGTCTAGTAAAGTGATGATAGGTTCTTAACCATGAAAAAGATGATGGGATTTTGCAGGTATACAGTCAAGAAATGATGGCACTCCTAACTACAGTAGTGAACAAGAAATTTTCCAAGTATCTGGGTAAGAGATGTTGATGTCCTCAAAATGTGGTGACTATAACATTTGAAGGTATCCAGGTAAGAAATGTGTAACTAATAATGGTAGTACCAAGGTATTTTATAGTTACCCAGGTTAGAGATGAAGTGTCCTTAACAATGACATTTATCTGGATAATTTATAGATCTCCATGTAAGATATGTTTTTCTAAACCTAGCAGAGACCATAGGCTTCTGTAGATAACCAAGTAATGATGATGCACCACAAATCACTGTGGTGACCAAGGTATTTTACAAGTATTTAGTTAAGAACTGATGGTAAACGTCAAGTAAATATGGGACTTTGAAGGTATTGTAGGGGAGAAAAAATAATTTTCCCTTTACCCTTCTAGGCTCTTGGTTGAGACCCTCCAGTAACAAAAGACCAATTAACAAGAGAAAAACAATTTTAGATACTTATGCATATACGTACATATGGGAATCCCACAAAGATATGAAACTCAAACAGGCAGCCAGGCAGTTGAGGCTTATATTCTATCCTGAGCTAAGGAAGGGGACAGAGGCCTGGGGCTTCCAAGGGGAGGCGGGCAATTCACCAGAAGGTGAGTAGAGGAAATGCATGGTAAACAGTTTGCTCTGCCATGCAGATGACTTTTTCACCTGAGACACTTCTCTGGTAATAGCTCTCTTTTGGTACAGGCCCCTTTCTGATATAAATCTCCCTTACAAAAGTGTAACTTCTACTGAGCTTCCGGAGCTTTTCCTGTGTCTGCAGTTGCTCAAAATAATCAGTTCAAAATAATTCTCAGGTCAAAGAGGCATATTCTGCTACCTTTTGGTATCCGTTAAATAATGATGGTGACCTAAACTGTGGTAACGACCATGAGATTTTCAGGTGTCCTGGTAAGAGATGATGTGTCTCTAATTACAGTTGTCATCATGTTTTTTTGCGGGTTCCAGTAAAGAAATGAAGGTGAAATTAACCGTGGTAGTAACCATGGGATTTGCTAGATAGCAAGGCAAGAAATAATGTAGGCTTTAACCAGGTAGACATCATGGTATTTTGGAATTGTTCAGATAAGTTATCTTGGTGTCACTCACCACTACAGACCATGGGATTTTGCAGGTTTCAATCAATAAATGATGGTGAACCTAATAATGGGAGTAAATGTGGGACTTTACTAATATCCAGAAAGGAGATGATGTGGGCCTTAAACACAGTAGAGACCATATGATTTCCAAATATCTAGAAAAGTCATGATGCTGTCCCAAACTCTTACTATTACCATGTGTTTTTGCAGGTATTCAGGTAAGAAAACAATGTCCCTAACAGAAGTGGTAACCATCAGATTTTACTCTTTTTTGTTTTTTTAACTCAGAGATGATTTATCTTAAAACTTAGTAGTGACAAAGATATTTGCAGGTACCCCCAGCAATATGTCAAAGTCCTCACTACATTAGTAACCATGTGATTTTCGCAGGTGTGTAGTGAATACATGGTGGTGTCTGAAACTACACTGTTGACCTTAGAGTTGTCCAAATATCTAGGTAGAGTTAGTGGTTGCCCTAATAGAATGGAGAGATGGAATCAGCAGGGGTCCAGATGGATGAACATGTATCCCTAACCAGGGTTTTCCACCATGTGTTTTTTCAGTTCCCATTCAAGAGATGATGATCTCTTTAACTACAATGTGGACCTTAGAACTAAAGAATCCAGGTAGAGCTCATGGTTCCCCTAACAACAGTAGTGATCATGGAATGTTTTGAGGCCCATGTAGAAGCTGTATGCCTAATTATAGTCACCACCATGTGTTTTTACAGGTTCTAATCAAGAGATACCGGTAAAGATCATGGAATCAGGTAGGTGATGATGTGGGTTAAACATAGTACAGACCATCTGGTCTTCAGAAGTCTAGTACGTGATGATGGTGTCCCTAAGATGTGTCAGTACCATGATTTTTGGAAGGTATCAGGTAAAAAAAATGATACTGGCCCTACAAATACTAATAACCATGAGATCTAGTTTAACCAGTTTTCTAGTTTAGAGAGAGATTGTGTGTGTTTAAGCTGAGGAATGAGTGAGGGATTGACAGGCATCTGGGTAAGTGAGCACAATTTTCTTCATCACAGTATTGACCAGGAGATATTTACAGGTACATGGTCAAGGGATGATGGTGTCTGTAACAACATTGTTAACCTTAAAGTTCTACCAGTGTCCAGGTAGCATTAATGGGTCCATAAAGATGAAAGTGACAAAAGTTATTTGCCGTTTTCCTGGTAGGAAAAGTTAGGTCCTTAAATAAATGTCACAGTGTTTTTTGCAGGTTTCAATCAAGAGATCACAGAACCCTTAACAATGGTGGTTAATGGGACTTTCCTGGTATCTAGTAAGTGATTATGTGAGTCTTAGACTATAGACCTTTTAATCTTCAGACATCTAGGTAAAGGATGATGGTATCCCTAACATTTGTGTTACCATGTTTTTTTTTTTGCAGATACTCCAGTAAGAAATGACAGTGTTCCCACAAACACTACTAAGAATTTGCCCGTACTGTTTACTAGTTTAGAGATAATATGTTTTGAACCCTGGTCAAGACTCAAGGATTTGCAAATTCCCAGGTAAGTTATCATGGTGTTTTTCATCTCACTATTGATGATGGGATTTTTATAGGTACCCAGTCAAGAGATGATGGTATCTCAATGGCTTTGACCCTGATATTCTGCAAGTATGCAGATAAAGTTGATGGTTCCTCTAATGCTGGTAGTTCCCATGAGATGTGGCATCGTGTAGGTTGAAAAAGATGTGTCCCTAACCATGGTTGCCACCCTGGGTTTTTAAAAGGTTCAGATGACCATGAAATTGACAATGACAGCAAATACGGGACTTTGCTGGTAGGCAGGAAAGAGATGTTGTGAGCATTTGCACGTTAGAGATCTTCAGATTTCCCAATATCTAGGTAAGAGATGATGGTTCCTATAATACTATAACCCTATAAACAAGGGTGTGCTTTGTTTTGGTTTTGACGGGTTTTTAGGTGAGGACTTTGCTAAAATACTGGGAAGAAATGATCTGGCATTTTCACATTGGAGACCTTCCGAATTTCAGGTATCTAGGTAATTAATGATGGTGATCATAACTCTGATAACCTGTTTTTTGGCAGGGATGCAGGGAAGAAATTAATTTGCCCCACCATATTAATACGCATGAAATGCTATATATTCTGGTTCAGAGATGATGTGATGTGTTGTTTTGTTTTGATACTCATAGTGATGTATCAATAAGCAGGAATCCAGGTAATTTATCATATTGCCCATGACTGTGTTATTGATCATGGGATTTTTGCAGGTAACCTTTCAAGAGAGGAAGGTATCTTTTATTAGGGCTTAGCTTCACAGCTCTGCAAGTAACCAGGTAGCACTGATGAACCACAAACATAGACGAAATCAAGGAAATAGGCAGGTGTCCAGTTAGTAGAAGACTAGTACTAAAAAAAAATTTCACAATGTGCTTTTTCCGTTCCTTTCAAGAGACCATGATGAGCCTAACAATAGTCGTCGTTAATGTGGGACAGTGCCGGTATCCAGGTAAGTGATGATGTAGGGTTAAACCGGAGCAGAAAACCATTTGATCTTCCCTGAAGAAAGCAAGTGACCCCGCTGCCTTGGAGTACCAGCCACGCCTGCGCCTGGGGCCAGGGGTCAGGATGTGACGCCATAGCACGCGCTTGCGCATTACTGAACTCCCCCCTCCCCACACCCGCCATTTTAAATTTAAATGCCGGTGACATGGCTGCGCTACGGTTCGGGATGGGAAGTGTTCCCGGAATTGCGAGACTCATGCTTCAGTCCTTAAAACCAAGGTTGAAGTGCCGTAGGGAGACATCAGCTACTTAGTACCCGGCATATTCCTGTACCTTTCCTTTAAGTCTCAACTGCCCTCTCAGTGGTGATCAGTGACATGTGCAAGTTCAGGTAAGGAGCCATGGATGGGTGTCTGAAGGGAGAGGCGATGAGAGTAGCCTTGAGCAGCTGAGGTATACTTGACAGGAACTGGCTTCAGTCTTGAACTGCATGAATTTAACTCATCTGGCTAAGGGGTAGCTGCGACCTACTTAGCAAAACTTCCATGTAGGGTCAACTGCTTATTTGGATACTGTGCGTGAAGCATGCACTAAAAGCTTTGGGCAATTTAATGTGTCCCAGTTCGCCCAAACAGCTCGCAAAAACAGGGGAGTTGTGAAAATGAAATTTGATTTCATGTGTTGCTGGCCCAACATAGGCACATAAAGAAATGCACAGTCCCTGATCTGGATTGGGTGATGAACGATCTCTCACCTGGGTTTAGGGCAAAATGTTCTGACTCCAAGGATGCACAAGTGCCATGACTAATAGGCTCTGACACTTCATAACCAGAGGGGGCCCCAAGTTAACAGGATTACTAGGCACTCAAGGGTGTAAAGTTCCAGCTCAGAAGCCAGACTGTTTCCCTCAGGTTTTTAAATGCAGGTTGAGCACCTATCTCCTCTCTTGGCAGGGGGTGGTGGGGACTCCTTGCAGTCTTAGAAGAGGACCTGTCCAGTGATCACCCGGGAAATGGAAGCTGCTCTTGGCGCTGAGTGCCCTGTACCTGCTGTTTATTCTGTCTCTATCTCAACAGGATTCAGTAGAAATAACCTAGATGCCTATCAGCTATTGGACATGAGGTATTTATTTTGTGAACTAATGCAAGCAGTTATAAATCCCCACATACTATTTGATGAAGTGTAATAGGGTAGTCATGTGTGATCTCTTTACACAGCCGTGCATTTAGTCCCTCGCCTTTAGTTGCACAAAAATTATAAAGCCCAGTGAACAAGACCAGTGGACTGACGGACAAATCAGCCTATACAATGAGAAATTAGAATAGTATGCTGACTGGAATGATCAAGTAATTTAAGTCAAATGTTTTAATGTTGCAATTAAAGTAATCAAGGGTTCAAATAGATTTTTTTCAAAAGACTTCTTTAAAGTCCTGTTCAGGCAAGGTCCTGTTTGAAAAAAAACCACCCTTCGCTTTGTCCGCAGATAAAACATCAAAAGTTGCCCAAGGTAATTTTGATGTGAATGCAGCTTTAAACAATAAAAAATTGTGTTTTAAGTGCACTTCTCAAAGCACATTATATAACTAGAGGGCCCCCAAACTTGTAAACTAAACATCTGATGCAAATGTACAGAACAAAATTGGCAACAATTGAGGGGTAGGGGAAAAAGGTCAGTGATGACTTAACCTAACCATTGTTGTTACTATGTTTGTTTGTTTTGCAAGTATTGAGGTAAGAAATAATGGAATCCTTACCAATGTTAGAAATCATGAATTCTTTCTACATTTTTGAGGAAATGTATGTTTAATACTGTGGGTGTTAATTGTTGTTTAATTACCGTATCTAGGTAATTATTCATGGTGTTCCTCACCACAGTACAAACCATGGGGTTTTTGTAGGTGTCTGGTCAAGAAATAATGGTTTTATCTGACAACGGTGTTGACCTTGGAGTACTACCAGTAGCAGGTAGAGTTTTTATGTCCTATAATGATAGAAGTGACCAAGGTTATTTGCGGATCTCCTGAAAAAAAGTCTCCTTTAACACATGTTTCATAATGTGTTTTTCAAATTCCTGTCAAGAGATCATGGTGTGACTAATTATGGTCTTTAACCTGGGGCTTGGCTGATATTTAGGTAAGTAATGATGTGGGTCCTCCACACTACAAACCATCTGATCTTCACAAATCTAGGTCAATGATGGTGTCCCTAACACTTGCGTTACCATGTTTTGTTTTGTTTTTTTCAGGTATCAGGTAAGAACTTTTCTAGTATACAGGTAAGAGATGACATGACATGTACACATTAGAGACCTTCTTGTTTTCAGATATCTAGGTAATTAATAATGGCATCAAGAATTCTTATACTGACATTTTTGACAGGTATGTAGATAAGAAACCAACTTGTCCCTAATAGTAAGCATGAGATTTTGCTGTATTCTTTTTTTTTTAATTTATTTTATTTTTATTTATTTATTTTTATTCTTATGTTAATCCCCATAC